TAAACTTTATGTTGTTAGGATTCATAAGAATTTCAAGCCCATCAATGTAGTCGTCTATTGTCGCTCCTTCGATTGTGTCTGAAATAATGGCATGTTCCTTATTTGGGAGAAGAGCTTGTGCTGTAATTGAGGCGTAACTGTTAGATTTTGATGCTGAGGAGGGGTTGGTGCTGTGATTTTCTATGTGGACGTCTTTATCAGACTCCATTGTAGGTTCTTGTTATTGTTACAGCATTTCAAACTGCAGCCGCAGTTTGAGAGCTGAGACACTGTTCTTTCTGGTAGGAAGAGATGCACTATAGAACTTGTATACTATCACTCGATATAGATGATTGCACAAATAACGTAAGATTTCATAAAAAGGCGCGAACGCGTATAAAGGTTGTTTACAGTGCGAGTAAATACGCCTGCTCGCTTCGGTGTCTCAAACCAAACTCCTCGTTTAGCATCATCTGGATGACTATGTGATACTTCATTCATTTCCCAAAATGACTTCAAGAAATTAAAATGTACAGATTCCATAGTTTGCTCGGTAAAAGACCCCTTATAGCATATTCACATAATTGTTTGACATAAAAAATACTGCATGAATTTTGAGAGTGATACTAATTTATAAACTTTTATAGCTTTTTCTGAAATCTACTATATATACCTTATAATTGTTTTCGAAATTTGACCTAAAACATGCGAAAATAACATTTCTGAAGTCATCAAAAACTTGCACATATTTTGGTATTGCTAAATTATTTGATCTGCGTAAAATATCGACTTTCCCAATAAATTTTTGCATAAATTACCTTTGAAAGTAGAACTACCATGCATACTTTCACGCTGATAATACAAAAATTTATCCATATTAAAGCTTCAATTTCACATTCTTTCATTACATAGGTAAAAAGTTTATTGAGTACATCGAGTATAAGATAAAGCTTTGGCAGTGGAATTATCTGTAAGAGTACTTCATTCACATCATCACAAGAATATTTCATTCACATTTATTTTTTTATTTAAACAATTTCAATCCTATATAAGTATTATTTTGCTCACATTATATATCATTTTCATTAATAAGCAGTGGGTGAAAGCATTTGAAGGATTTCTTTGGTTGCTTTTTAACATCTAAAGTGCGCCATTTCTTATAGTTCTGCAATATGTTTGCAGTAGATTTCAAAAAGCCATCTTTGCGAGTATAGCACCAAGTATATGAATAAGCACTACTATGCGACATTATTCCAACCTACATTCAAAGAGCTTCAAATCAGTCGCAAGCTTAATCAGTGCAAGAACTAATATTTATTAACGTCAATAGCTGTGTTAAGTTAACAAAATTTTCTTGAATATCCATGCGATTTCTAAAAAGAATAATTTTTTCACACCGGGATCTTCAAATCTTCATATTTGGAGCGTTTTCTTATATTCACCTTAGTTGACATTGATTGGACTGATATACATAGTTTTAAGAATTCAGCTCCAATCAATACCATATTTGAAATCAACTTTTTCCATTTGTTTTTTTTTTCTTCATATGCTCAATAAAATCATGCATATTGAAAAAATAAGCAACCGTTAAAGGGGATTTGTAACTTCTGTTCAAGTCGGAGCAATTTATGTTCAAAAAAATGTTTAGTTTGTAAGCTCTAGAGTGAAGATATTTTACTAATCCTGACTCAATGAATTTTCTATCTTTCGTTACCGCACGGAGAAATGAAACAACTTATAACAACACAGTTACTCAATTTACAATCAGTGTTTATTTGAAACAATTTTACAATATATTTAAAAATACTGATAACTGAAAATCAACAAACAATGTTAAAATAAACTTGTTTTATTTTTGAATTACTAATTAGAACTTTTTGAAAATCCAGGGTCACTTGTAACATTACAGCAAGATATTTTACGAACTTTACATTCACAACTGCTTTGCGATCGTGTAACTTTTTTCAAAACTGGAAATAATGATAAATTTGAAAATTTAATAGCAATATTACTGACTTGAACGTCATATATACGTCTGTTACAAGTAGTACACAAAGTCGCAGGCAAATTTTCTTCGTCAATATAATTAGTAATCACATTTGTCAAATTACTTTTCAATTTGCTTATCATTTCAGTCATTAACTTTTGTTTTCAAAAATATAAAAAACAAACTTTACATCAATTTTTACTGTGGCTGAAAACTCTATGTGGCATTTTGTACCGCAATTATGTAATAATAACATATACACTCCTTCAAATACTATTAACTAACTACAAAGTACAAAATGCCAGATATTTATTTCATCTACAAGCTAACATTACAGATCTCAGTGTTGATAAATGGAGATATTTTTATTGAATAAAAATCGACTATTCAAATACTCAGATTGAAACAATAACTTTTTTCAAAAACCGCTAGATCTCGGATTTTTATTTTTATTTTTTCGTGATCTAAAAACAATGTATTTTAAAAAGCTTGAAGCAAATTCAAAGTGCAAAATTCTGTTCAATATAAAGCGTGACATGGATTAAGTTGAAAGGTACGATTTTTATTTCACCTTTCGGCGACAGTAGACAGTAAAATCTTGGTCGAAAGATTTAGGCGTACGCAATAACACAAACATCGTTGCTGCAGCACGATGCAGACGTAAGTGATGAGGTGTGTGAGAACTTCGGGTATTAGTCGACGACTCCGAACCTTCACAGTTTCAGTGTTCACAGCGCCCAGGGAGCAAAGACTTGGGCGATGAATCTCTTATCGGCTAGTCTGGGCGTCCAGCCCTCAACGTGCGCACTTTTATTAAGCCGGTCACCACACTCCGAGCTATTCACCGTACTTGTGAAAACGGTTGCACAAAATAAGAAAAATAAGAAATCGAGATAGGAAGTATGGAAAAAAAACGGCAAAAGTAAAAAAGGGAGCTTCTACTTCCTTTTTCTTCTCCATTTGCCAGTCGAAGCGCTGCCATTCGATACTGCTCCTTACCTAGTAACCTGCTGCACTCCGTCTTCCACCATACTTTAAGAGAATTACGATATGCTCCCGAATTTTCGGCTCACCCCTCTCTTACATTTGCCCTCGCTATTGTCCATCATGATGGCTCCTTATTACACGCGTGTGCCTTAACAAATATCTATTCATTACAGTATATAGGAATTCAACACAAAGAATATCCGCATTATCCGGTCACAAAATGCAGAGATAGGAAATCTCATTTATTATACTTTCTGAATACTGATACAAATATGGTAGATGATTAATTGTAACCAATGGTTAAAAGGAAAACTGTCAAAACAATAAGGTCCTTGCAGCTATTCATGAAATCTTGTAATATTGAAGAAAGCTATCGTGCTAATAAATCCTCTTTACCTTAGTCTATTATCCTTAGTTTAAGGCAATTCTTACCAACTCTCAACCCTACCGACTAGTCCAGTTGGTTACACTAGGACAAAACGCACTAATATTCTCCTGCATTTCCTCCTCTCACCAGTGAGCCTAGTTACATTCAATAGTTAGCTAAAGTACCTTGTTGTCTTATTTACAGGAAAAAGTAATGTGACGAAGCATGCACATTAATTTGGCCAAACAATTGTATCTAGTCAGAGAAAAAGAGAGAAAGAAAGAAAGTAAATTTTTATAACAAATTCAAAAATATTCAACATTTTGGTCTTCAGCTTAAAACTGCCATTTCAAATTTTTAATTTCTCATTTCAGATTCGTAACTATATAGTAACCCCATAAAAACTCTTGTGTAGCAATAATTTTAAGTTTATGGTTAAAAATTACATACATAATAAATGAGTTTAAGAAAAATTTCATTCTAGACATTGTTTCTAAATATTAACAAGTTATTACGATATTTAAAACCTTTCAACCTAAATTTCAATTTCTTAACATTCTATCACTAAGAAACTAGAAAAAAAACAAGTTGAATCCAATAAAAGTAATCTGAAATTGCAAAAAAATATACGAAAATAAGTGATCTCTGTAAAACAACCATGTCATAAAAGGTTAAAAAATAAAAATAATGCAGTATATATAGAATAATAATGGATTCAACATCCTCATTGTAAATAATTTATGAAATTGATGAGTTTTTATTTATTGACATTAAGAAAAACTAAATAATTCAGATAGATAAATTAAACAAACAAAGGAATATTACAAAGATTTGTTTTCTAATTTGAAATGTATTGAGTTTTCAAAACATTCAAATATCACTAATGCTTAGCAATGTACCAATACTTAGCTACTTTTGATATAACATATAAAATATATTGTCCTCCTTTATCTAAATTAATTCAGATTAAATGAACATTTATGTATAAAAAATATATGGAATTTGTCATTAGATAATGAACAAGAATCTTTGAACTAATATAAATAGTCCTGATATTGTTACATCTAAAATTTCTATATTAATTTTGAAAAATAATAAAACAATTGACCATATATCATTAAAAATCAAATATATTATTGAAAAATCAATAGAATATACAAAAGGTAATTTTATTCCATTATATAATATTTCTATATTGTGATTAAATTCAAAATAAAAATGTAACATCCATTTATTCCATTTTTAATCGTTATGAATTACTCAATCGGAAAATCTTTACCCTGCAATTAATTGCAATACTTAACTTGTTTGTCATAAAAATATTTAATAATTACTAAAAAAAAACATAAATAAACTACTCTTGGCCATTAACAATGATTTTACAAAGAATTATGCATCAAATATAAAGTAGTTTGAGTGGCAATAATTATTTTATTCTGTATTAATTTCATATTCAATTTATATTTCATAATAAAAATGACTTAACAGAGTTACATATTCAAATAAAATATAATATCAATGAAATTGAAAAATTTAGATTTTCAAAAATAAATAACTATTCGAAGAACTCAATAATAAAAATAACCATACTATATTACTCTTAATACAAAGAGATTATTAATAATAATGTTTTAATTTTATTTATTTTGCCGCAAAATCCAATGTCATAAAAATACTTACCGTCGGTTCTTTTAATATTCACGCTAGTACCAGTTTCGATATTAAAAATAGACTCCATGATCTTTTTCTATTAAACAATCTTTATAAAGTGACTAGTCATTTACCACAAAACCAATGTTTAAACATTATTGATAAAAATCAGATATTAGAATTGAAAATACATTTATAAATTATTTCACAAAAACCAACTAAACACTTTAAATTTTTCACTTTTATGAAAAATAACTTTACAAGAGTAAAAAAACTATGCTACATTTACATGCGTAACATTATGTTTAATCTTCCTTATATTTATCTTTATCTTTATTATTTACTTTATTTTATTTTTTTATTTTATATTTAAAAAGATCCATCACAGACCACCTTTCAAATATAAAGGGACTTACAAGCTGAATCTAACACCCCCCCTCCTAGGCTACTCAACGTAATTAAAGCAAAAATATATATATATCCAAATCGATATATTTTCATTCATCCATTTCAACTACATGGTTCAATTTATTTGCTTATTACTAATCTTTTCAGAAAGAATTAATAATTATACTCAATACTATATGATTTCGAACGTCAATAGCTTTGTGATTATTCAATATTTTTAAATTTCTGAAATTACCAAAATTTTCCTCGAACTAATTTAATTTGCTCTGTTGATTCTAATAATAATTGATTAATATTTTAAGTACAAAAAAAATTTCAAACAATTATTCTGGTTATACAATCCATGCAATGCGCATGCGTCCTAGAAAGAAGACTACATCTCATCGGAAACGTATTTAAAAGCGTATTTCTGTTCAGAACAAACAACGTTATAAATAAAGTAATGGTGGTTTAAATAAACTACATATATTTAATTTTGTTAAAGGGTAATTGATTCTCGTTGCGAGTCTGACTGCCGATCAGTAATGAGAATCTGAAGACGTTACAAAAAACTCCATTTTCATGAAGTCATATCGCATCGATATCGTTTATGCAAAACTGTAAATTTTAAATGATTTTTTTTAGCCAGAAACTTACGCACGCCACTGTATTAGCTATGATTGTAATCAAGGCCTTTGACTAACTTTTTGAGTTGAGTATTTGACTCTTTTCTTAACTTGTAGCTGACTCTCCGTTTCGCGATTTATGAGAAGGGTATCATACTGGGTATAAGCGCTTTTTGGTGATGTTAATCGAACGTTTCGGAGATACACAACCTGTAACACTAAGACCATGGTCCGTTGTCCTGGACAGAACATATTATCAAACGGAAGAATTAGAGATCATTGTACAGAGTAATGAACGGACACGAGTATACAATAAATCAAGTGATACAAGGTTTAATATCTTTTTTTTACGACTAAGCTAATGATTACCAGCTAAGGTCGAACGGTTGAGCCAGGGGTCCTGCTTTGTATGAAGTAATAAGTGTATATGTGCTTGTATTAATAATTAAGATAAAACGCGACAAGTTATCAGACTGTTAATAGTCATTTCCGTTAACAATTCTTATTTCAATCTCGCTTTTACATAAAACATCTCTTATGTATGATTCTAATGATGGTTCTATATATTTTAATAATATAAGGTTATATAGTTATGATAGATATAACGTTTGGAATTCCAAATAATACATTTGCAAAACGCTTCAAAAACGTTTTAAAAATGTTTTTCATAAACATTTATACAATAAACCGGTATCACAATACATTTTGAAAACGATTTAAAAACGTTTTTAAACATTTTCAAAACGTTTTAAAACAGGTATCACAACACTTTATCGAAAATTTTCTATAATAGGCTGGTATCAGAATACGTTTTAAAAACGTTTGTAAAACGTATTTTTATAAAAACATTTATTATAAAAACTTATACAATAGGCTGGTATCGGAATACGTTTTGACAACGTTTTAAAAACGTTTTTAAACGTTTTCAAAACGTATTGTGATATTGGCCTATTGTATACATTTTTCTATAATACGTTGTGACACCCGTTTTAAAACGTTTTCAAAACGTATTATGATACCGGTCTATTGTATAAATTTTTATAAAAAACGTTTTTCAAACGTTTGTAAAACGTATTCAAAACGTATTTACTCGTAGACATATATTACGTTTTAAAAACGTTTTTAAACATTTTCAAAACGTTTTAAAACAGGTATCACAACACTTTATCGAAAATTTTCTATAATAGGCTGGTATCAGAATACGTTTTAAAAACGTTTGTAAAACGTATTTTTATAAAAACATTTATTATAAAAACTTATACAATAGGCTGGTATCGGAATACGTTTTGACAACGTTTTAAAAACGTTTTTAAACGTTTTCAAAACGTATTGTGATATTGGCCTATTGTATACATTTTTCTATAATACGTTGTGACACCCGTTTTAAAACGTTTTCAAAACGTATTATGATACCGGTCTATTGTATAAATTTTTATAAAAAACGTTTTTCAAACGTTTGTAAAACGTATTCAAAACGTATTTACTCGTAGACATATATTACGTTTTAAAAACGTTTTAATAACGTTTTTTTCACTAAAAGTCGTCAACGTTTAAAAGTTTCCTAGAAAACGTTTTTGAAACGTTTTTAAAACGTTTTTGTGTTATTGGGGTGACTGTATTGTTACTGTGTCTCTGTATTAAGTCGCAAAATAAGTCTTTTTGAAAAAAGATATTACGTTTCAGGATTATGCTAATTATTCATTATTACTAAACAATAATCTAATTTTATCATCTGTAAAAATCTCAAAATCATTGTCGATATAGTAATAGTAATAAACAATTATGCAGAATAATCATCCTGGATAATTGTAGTTGGAGAGATCGTTGAAATAATAGTTTTCAATGTGATAAATTACGAAGTTTAAATATATGAAATATAAATGTTTTGTAAATAAACTAACTTTTCGATTTCAAATTGTAACTGATTAATGACGTAAATATATTGTCAGATTAGGTTGAGTTCGAGCATATATGAGTGTGTATGTCTGTGTGTGTGTGGTGGCGTGATCGTCGCATTCGTTGAGTGAGCATTGCTGCTCTCTCTCTTCCACTCTCTAGTCACTTGGACTGTAGCATCCAGCCAGTCACCATGCTACACGCTCTCGCTGTCCGTGCTGTTTTATTTATACAATTGTCATTATAATAAATTCCAGTTTTACCAGTTAACCTGTTTATCTCTTTTATTCGCATGATAACCATGCATAATCTCTACAGGTTATGGGCCCAGTATGGTTTTTTCGCTTTGTCTCACGTGAATTCGGAGTGCGGGTGTATGACGCAATAGAAATCGCGCGAGAACAATAGACGCTTTTGTGCTGAACGGTTTGTCGGCCATTTTGACTCTTTTTTGAATCTCCGTGCCGGCTGTGCTTGTGTGTTACGTAACCGTCGAAGATGACTGACCAACACCAGTTTCTCGTGAGGAGCATTAGAAAATTTGATGGATCGAATTTTCAAATCTGGAAAGCGGACCTGCATCGAGCTCTGAAAGGCATTGGATTGCTGAGCATGATCGATGACACTGCTACACCTCCCGGAGAAACGGCGACGCCAGAAGCTAAAGCAGAGTGGGACAAGAAAGACTCAACGGTGATGCTTTTAATGTCATCGAACACGGTTGACAGCGAAGCTGAAAATTTTCTTGGATGTGACACTGCTGCTGAAATGTGGAAAAACATGCAGGCCATTCATGAAGAACGCTCTGAAACAGGCAAGCTGACTCTACTACAAAAATTCTACCAATGCTCATTGGAGGGAAATGAGTCTGTCGTGGTGTATACCACACGTCTACAAAATATCGCACGGCGCTTGAAGGACGCGGGAGAGCAAATGTCCGACAACTGTGTCATGGCGAAAATTCTTGGTGGTTTGCCGGAAAAATATGGAAGTTTGGTATCTTCCTGGGACTCTGTGGACCCTGCTTGTCAAACGACAATACATCTGATTGAACGCCTGATCAAAGAGGAAAAGCGTTTGGACAATCAAAATACAACACTTGGTGCTTTCTCAGCTGCAAACCAAGCAGGTTCTTCGAGAAATTTCCAGAACAACAAAATGGCGTCCGGACCCAAGAAGAAGAACAAAGGAGCCTGCCATTACTGTGGGATTGACGGTCATTTTGCACGCGAATGTAAGAAGAAGAAGCGTGATCAAGCTTCAAGGGGAGTGGCTTCCGGTAACTTTCAACAAAATGGAGGCCAGCGCACACAACCTAATAGGAGCAGTGGTGTGCCGCAAGAGGGAGTCACACCTGGATTCGTGGTGTCACTTGTCGCCACTGTGAATCTACAACCTCAAGCCAACTCAACTTCGGCCAGGGATGATCGTTCGCAGTCGAGGACCCCATGTGATGAATGGCTGACGGACAGTGGTGCCTCCTGTCACATGTCGTTTCGCCGGGATTGGTTCAAGGATTACCGTGAGTTGTCACCAGCTGTGAATGTAACGCTGGGGGACAATTCTGTTCATCAGGCTATCGGAATTGGAACCATCCAAATCCAGCGCAAGGTCGGTGAAGAGTGGCTTGTGGGTAAACTCAATGATGTGTTATATATTCCATCATTTAGTCGAAATTTGTACTCCACTAATCCTGCAACACGGAAAGGTTACGAAGTTGTGCTCAGGGGAGATGTTGTTTACATTGTCAATACAGAAAATGGCTCTGTCGTGGCACAAGGCAGGAAGCAGCTCAATAATATCTGCTCCATGGATTTTAGGGTTATTCCACCGGGTGTAGAGGTGAACAGCAGCTCTCTACAGGATCTTCATAGAAGCTTGGGACATGTCAACGTTGGAAGATTGAAGAAGATGATTGATGCCAAAGCTGTTGCCGGACTGGAGGATGTTGCTGGAGACGACTTTGTATGCAGGGGATGCATGTATGGCAAGTCTCATCGGTTGCCGAGTCGTCCTGTTGGTGTTGATGTGGTAAAATTTGGCAAGGGTGAATGCATTCATGTAGACTTGTGTGGCAAGATGAGTACATCACTGGGTGGAGCTCAGTATTTTATGCTGGTCAAAAATCGTGCTACGGGTTTCCGTCACGTGTATTTTCTGAAGCATAAATCTGATGCTGCCACAAATCTGAAAAACCACTGCATACTCATGGAGAAGCAGTATGGTATCAACATCAAGAGAGTTCGATGTGACAATGGCCTGGAGTTCTGCAACTCGACCTTGGTTGATTTCCTGAGAGGGCATGGGATCCAGATGTGTACGTCGGCTCCACATTGTCCGGAACAGAACGGCTTCATTGAACGAGACAACCGGACAATAATTGAATCCACACGGAGTATGCTTCATGATGCAGCGTTACCACAGTCTCTTTGGGCGGAGGCTGTGAACACAGCTGTCTACGCTATGAACCGGACTATATCCAACAGT